CCTTCAGTTCCCCCCTAAACCCTAAACCTTAAACCCTAAACCCTAAACCCTAAACCGTCAAGCTGCACAAGTAAGGTTCCAGCACCGAAGACCATGCCGAAGATGCATGAGCGGGTGGAGACCAAGGTGGAGATTGGAGGTTACCCTGTCCGTGTTTCATGGAGCTGCCTTGTTGGTGCTGTTTTAAAGCTCCAAGATCTCGAAGTTGACTAATTACGGTTTAGGCTCAGAAACCGGGGTTCGATGTGTGTTGCTTTAGTTTCAGGGTGTTTTGTGCTGTAGGGTGTTTAAGGATTTGGGATTGTGGAGTTTAGCCTGAGGGTCTTAGGGTTAGATGTGTTCTTTTTGTCGGGATACCTCATAGATAGTATTGTCGTTCCGCTTTTGGGCTATCCTATAGGAGCCTAAACATGCAGTTTGTTAAATCAGGCGAGGACCTGCGATGGAGACTGTAGTGCTTGCGAACCCTGCGCCCAGGTTTTGTGGAAGGCTTTGAACGCAGCGGTCTTCTCAGCACGGGATCTGACTCTAGGTCCCAGAGTACTACTTTTGGTTCTATGTTACTGTCGGGCTTCCATGACAGCTGACAGTTAACAGGGAGGGTTAAGGGTTTAGGGTTGGGGCTGATTGACAGATTTCTAAGCAGGGGCCTGAAGACTAGAACCCCCAGCCCAAAAACCCTAAAGCCGCACAAAGCTAAAATGCCTCAGAACTTCGCCAACAGCACCGGCGTGGTGAAAGTCGAAAGCATCGACTTAGACCTGTCCTCACAGGCTCGATGTGTTTTTGCCGAATTCCCTAAACCCCTCAACCCTAAATGGGATTCTTAGGGGTTGCCTTTGCGTTGCCCTGTTGGGATTCCTTATGATAGGGATCCTCTTGCACCATTTCCTTGATAGGGGTTGCTGCCAAGGCTCTGGAGGGCTCTACAGGGCTACTCTTAAGTATGTTCTGTGAGGGTTATCTATCGCTGAAAATCGAGGCTTTAGGGTTAGGCCTTGAGGTTTAAGGCTTAGGGCTGGGTGCCTTCACCCACCATTTTGCTGGTAAGGCCCGTTTCCGGTCTGTATTAAGGATGATGATATTTAAATTTAGATAATACAACTTTCCGGTCGCCGTTGAGATTGACGATATTTCGACCTTACAGACCCAAAGGGTCCTAAGTACCTATATGGGGGACATTTACCCACACCAGAGTAGTAATTTCCATTATAGAAGCCCTAGTGTCTAAAACTCTAAACCCTAAACCCTAAACCCTAAACCCTAAACCTCTACCATACAGGCACTGAGGACCTTTTGGGACAGGGTTGCTCATGGAGGTCACAGGGTGCAACCCGCAGCCTAGACTCCGGATCGGCTTAGGGTTTAGGGTTTAGGGTTTAGGGTTTAGGGTTTAGGGTTTAGGGTTTAGGGTTTAGGGTTTAGGGTTTAGGGCAGTTCAAGATGCGGGCTAAACGATAAATCCTCGCAGGGTGGGAAAAGGTCCAAAACAAACTAAAACCTACCCCCTTGCGCTCCTTTGCTTCCCAAGGCTCTCCGGTATAGCTCCTGTCAAATCTCGGGTTTCTATTACAGCAGGGTCCGAGTTCTGTATATAATGCTATTCGTCAGGTTCCTGTTATACTGTATAGCATACTATACCCCTGAACCTTGATCAGGTATGAAGGCCCCGATGCCCTATACTAGGGTTTAGGGTTTAGGGTCCTGGATGCTAGGGTTTAGGGTTAGGGATCTGAATTGTCAGTCCGTTTCCTCTTCGTGGGGTCCTCTTAGTAAATATTTTTCCGGGAGCTCGCGGTTGTTTTAGGGTTTTACGACTTACATAACCCCAGCACGTTCCTACCAGTACATTTCAGTACAGCTTGTTTGTTCCACTCGAATGTTCCGTGAGCACTCTGACACATGATACTTTGAATCATTGACTCCAAACAAAAACCCTAAATCCTAAACCCCAAACCCTAGCAAAAATCCGAACCCCAAACCCTAAACCCTTGTTTTCCTCTCTACAGACCTCAAGCCACCGCTGCCCTACGCTAGATTCTGTAACACCAAGCCTTCCGCTGCTGTTGGTGAGAGGCAAAAGAGGAGTCAGAGGATTTGGACATGAAAGAAGAACTCAAAAAGGACTGCGCTTGGTTCCACGGTCAAGGATTTGGCCTAGTGGTCCAAAACCCTAAGCCCTAAACCGGACCTAGTTGTCCAAAGTACCCAATGATCAGGTCTGTGAGTTTGGGAGAGTAGTACTTCTTCTAATGAGCATCTATGCCGATTGGGCACTTAAACACTTACGTGTACACTTGAGGGTTTCGGGCTTCGAATACTTGCAGAATCGCAGACATGCATTATTGTTTTTTTTTTTTTTTTTTTNNACATACATACATACACGCACACACGCACCACTCTCTACGTGGCCGCCGGCAGTTTTTGTCGATGTTTGTCGTAGCCGCATGCAGAGTTTCTCGTAGATCGTAGGTGTTTTGTGCCGTTTGTGCACTCCTCCACATCGTGTGTGCCAGCCCAAGAAAGAATACGCACACCCATGCATCCCGCTCACCGACATCCGCTGCAGAGACTGAAGGAAGAGGATGACGTGAAAGAGGAGAAACCTCTAAAGATGGAGCAAGAAGAAGGTGGCGAACAGGAAGCTTCGCCTTCTCCGGAAGAGAGCTGATCGTCTGACCTCTTCGTCGTGAACATGGGGTGGAGTGGGGCTGAACAGCGGCGAAAGCCTATAAACCCTAAACCCTATGCCTAAATCACTACGTACCGAACCCAGAACCGCTAAACTTTGCCTACGTGTCTAGCCCTTGGACGGCTCGAATGGAAGCCGAGCTACCACTGCTTACGAGGGGCCTGGCTTGTAAACCTAAGTGATGGGACACTTGCTTTAAGGAAACCACAAAGGTCCACGATGAAACATGAAACCCGGCAATATAGAGGCCTAAAAAAATTACCTATACTATGTTGGTGGTTACTTTTTATAGGTATTGTATAGTGTGCCCCAAAACCCTATTCTAATTATTAAAGCACCAACAAAAATACAACCACAAACCATCAGATCCCGAAGACCTACTAAACAAAAAGGAGAACTGTCACATGATCAAGACGGGAGCCGAGACCTAACCTTTGAGCTGTAAACCGAAGTATGGCACGCAGAGCCTCATATCGATCCTAGATTGGGGTTTGGGGACTCTAATCAAGTAAGGAACCCCCAAAACCTCAGACTAATTATTAAGGCCCCTAGTTTAGGGGCTCAGGATTTAGGGTTTAGGGTCTAGGGGTGTAGGGTTTAGGTGTCAGGAGGATGGAGAGACCCGACGATGTAGCCTCTTCACTTAAGCTCAAGCTGTGTGGACCTATATACTTAGGAGCCGAGTAGGTAAACTTTAAACTTTTTGGGATATTAAACCCCCTACTAAAAGAAAAGTTTAAGCTTTTTTGGGCCAGGGTACTGGGCTTCAAGGGATAAGAAGGCCTTTGGGCCCAAGCACACTATATTCAGGACATCTACATCTACATCGATCTATCTATCTGTTTATCTATCTACCTATCTACCTAGCTACCTGTCTATCTATCTGTCAATCTGTCTAATCTTTCTATCTATCTATCTATCTGTCTGTCTGTCTATCTATCTATCTATGTGCACATTTTATATGCGTATGTATGTATGCATGAGGTAGGTAGGTAGGTAGGTAGGTAGGTAGGTAGGTAGGTAGGTAGGTAGGTAAGTAGGCAGGCAGGCAGGCAGGCAGGCAGGTAGGTAGGTAGGTAGGTAGGTAGGTACATTATATATATATATATATATTTATAATTATTTATTTTTATATTTATATTTATACACACACAATTATACACACTCGAGACAACGTCAAGAAACAACTATGCCTACAGCCAGATGGATGTGCAGGTAGGTAGATCGATCGATAGGTATAAAGGTAGATGAGATAGTTAGGATAAATAGTTACATAGACAGACGGATAGACATGTTACACCTATGAAGGGCATGTCATCGTCCCAGTCCTCCAATGATCCCATGGCATCGTGACGAAGAGATTATTACACCTGGGACGGGAACAGGAAACGCTGTCCCTAGCAAAGCGCAGGTTGGAAAAGGCCGGCTGTGCTGTTTGCCCTGGGGTTTGGGGCTTATAGAATCTTAAAGCCCAAGCCGTACCAAACCCATCGGCAGAGTTTGTGGTTTTAGGGGTTAGGGCTTGGAAGCCCAAGGTTGATGGCGAAAGCATATACGTTCATGGGTAAGCAGTACCATGGATTGCTCCAGTTTCCCAAACAGTAGGTTATTAACTTCATCCACTGAAACCCAGTAACCCACTACTAAGCTGACTGGAGAGCTAGGGTATTGACAACCTGTAGCCTGTTGCTTCATATAAGCCCCATCAGTACCCATGCTCCTCCTTAAAGCCCCGTCTTTGTAATCATACTTGAATATACCCCGAAACTTGGCCCCTCTGTTATGGAACTCTTCTTGTACCCTGTTTAGCGGAGCCCAACCCTGTGCAGGTCATGGACGTGCCGGGTGGGAATAGTGCTCTGGAGGAGTTCCAAACTCAGAGGCCTCCAGCTCACCTCTAGGCCAATCCCACACCTGCTTGAATCACGGGCTTAGGGCTTAGGGTTTCGGGTTTAGGGGTTTAGGGACTTACAAAGTATGGCTACAAGTACCTTAACTAAGCTCCTTACAATTGTAGTTACCTCAATCAGAGCCCTACCTGCTAAGCTCTTTGATGCTTTCAGTTGAAGAAGTACCCCCGCCCCCCTCCCCCCCCCTGCCCGACCCCCACCACCTCAAAAGAAGGAATTCCCAAAGGAACACATAAAACCCCTTTTGCGAAGTCTACCCCAAACCCAAAGCCCCAAAGCAAAAGCCCCAAGCCGTAAATTCTAAAGCCTAAGCCTTATAACGCCAGATCCTAGACCCTAAACCCTGTCCACCCCAGGCCCAGGAAAAACCCCTAAGCCCAAAGTAAGGGTGAAGTAAGGATATTCACGCTGATCTTTGCCTTGGACGTGCTGGTCCGCATGTTCGTCCTGAGAGGCATTTTCTGGAAGGACCGCTCTGAGCTGTTTTGGGTTTAGGGGGTGTCAGGGTTTCCTTTAGCTTCGGAGTCGTTGTTCAGAGTTTCTCAATTTCGGATTTAGAGCTCAGAGCTTTTGCAAGTGTCACCGGTGTTGTCCTGAAGGGCACGTCGAGGTTCTGCAATGTTTTCAGCAAGTTAATGCTGTGGGAGCATAGTCTCATGGTGCGCAATCTTGGGATGAGCCTGCACTAGAATGATATCTCTTTACCTTATGCTCACGATAATATGTCGCTGCGGACATAGTACCCGACAGCATTTTTCACCGTTCCAGTGTCGTTAGACCCTTCTTAATGATCCAAACGTCGGAGTTCTTGTGGAAAAGACTGGGTTTTGTCTTCGTGCAGTACTTATCTACAGGGATATGTGCTGTGTCGTGATGACAGCAGGTATAGTTGATTGGAAGTTGCACGTCTCAAACTCTCATTTCTGAGAAACTGGACCTTGTGCTGTCTGCTGCAGTGAGAGGTTCTCAATATCATGCTGGGCATCAGTTAACAGCATGGGTGCTGACTTTTCTTGATTTCTGAAATCATTGGCCTATAAGAAATCCCTGAGGCATGGCTGAACTACATCGACATTGCGGTCTCCGTTACAAACATCTTCGAAACAGCGGCAGCTTGGCCGTGAACTCGTCGTAGGGTCTGTCGTCGTGTCTAGGGTTTAGGGTTGAGGGTACCTGTCGCCCGGAACCCCAGTACGCAACGACCCGTCAATATATGAGGGCACAACCCTCCCAATTGCTAGTACAGAAACCAACAGTATTCGCAAGCAACACGGCTGTGTGTCCCATAGTTCAGGAACTCGTCCCTGCACCCTATAAACCGTCACTCACATGTTAATACAGGGTTCCGTGCATCAGCCGTAGTCCGCCTAGGGTTTAGAGGTTGGAATTTTGGCCAGCAAAAAGACTACATCGCTTTGTAAAAAACACTGAGGCTAAGGGCGACCCCAATTCTGAAAGCCCCCCTGATGGGCTTACATTGGCATGCCTGGATCTTGGCACAGCCTCACCTCCATTTAACAGGGATCTTCTGGTCTACTCTTGTCTCTACTCAACTCTCAACCACTAGTACAATGGCTAAACAGGTAACAATCGTGCAGAACGTAATAACATCAGCGTCATCCTAATGTGAGCTGTGTACAACCCGGAACTGTCTAGACCACCTAGACATACAGAAGACAGTAAATATCTTTGCCCTAAACCCCAAACCCTAAACCCTCAACCCTAAACTAAACCCCAAACCCTCAACCCTAGACCCTAAAACCTAAACCCTCAACCCTGGAATTGGGCGGAGAACTTAGAGAAGCCCGGCTGCTTACTCTCAAGCGCTGACCTAGAATACTGGGCTTCTCACAGGGGGTTTAGGGTTAAGGGGTTTAGGGGTTTAGGGTTTAGGGGTTTACGGGGTTTAGGGTTTAGGGCTCTTATGGGTAGGTCTCTAAATGTGGGTGTCCCCAATATTAACATGGAGTACGGCGCTTTTACAAACAAGGCCCCCCCGGAGGGGCCCTAGTTTAGAGAATTACACCTATAGTCTCCATTGTAGTCCCTTTGAATTTTTTAACCCGAGAGCTAGGATCCTAAATGCTACCGGAAAAAGCAAACTGCAATAGAGACTGTAGGTAGGCCGTGATTCAGACACTGCGCTAGTAAATCCTGAATCAGGTGGATTCCGAAAGCTCCTTCTCCTTTGTGGACATTAGTTGAAGTCCTTCGGTATATGGTTCTAAAAGCCTTAATTTATAAGGGACCCCTACACCCCAAACCCTAAACCCCCTAAGGCCTAAACCCTAAATCCCAAGTTCCTTCTGAAGCCAGCAAGCCAACATCCTCGCATCCTGCCGAGATCTCCATGTATTCCAGCTCCACCGCATTGCCATTTCCACCCGTGCCTCAGTATGTTTTGGGGCTCAGGGTTTAGGGCTTTAGGGTGTTGAGGCTTATAAGATAAGGCCCCCTATAGACCCACAACTCTGAACCCGAGACCGCGACAGAAACCACTAGAGCTGGACCTGGCGCGCTATTCCAACCCGAAGCCGGAGATGTCCTCTTGCAGCGTAGGTCCATATCATATGGGGGGTCATGAATAGGGATATGGTTTTAGTGCGGGTATATTCTAGTGTAGATACAATAAGTAACCCTACGGAATTAGAGAAGTAGTTTTTCTTGCTTCTATATTTGGACGTTGAACCTCACCAAACCCCCTTTGTGCGTTCAAGAACAGTGTGCCTCACTTGGGCCCCGTATTAAACAGAATCCGGTCATTCAGGCGTCTATACTTTCAGGGTTCGCACTTTGAGAAACTCCGGATTCTCCACAGTCCAGCTAGTGCTTGGCTTGCTTAAAATCCATGTAATGCTCCTTGTTTCAGTTTATGTTGCTGCTCTATGTTGTGATGATTCTTTCTTTGTAACTGTCGGAGGTGCAAAGTGCAAAGGGTTTAGCAAACCCCGTGTCTGCTTGCGAAGCGGTGCACGATCTTAGCTGTAGCCGGAATGACAATAGTAGTCATCACTACATTCGTCATCATCATGAAAGCTTTTGCATGCATCGCCATGATCATCATCATCAGAGGTAGTGGCCGTAGCAGTAGCAGCGACGGTCGTAGCAACTCGCAGTAGCAGTTAAGCTGCTGCACCGGCACGCCAACTCAATCACGATCGGTCGCGAACCTTCCCAAAGTCCAGCAGCCTCGCTGTTAGGGTTTAGGGTTTAGGGTTAGATCTCGCTAAACTCAAGTTGTCGCGCCTCACCGTTTAGAGTGTTAGGCCCTGCTAAGCCTTTATGGTTTGATGGCATGTGTGCGAATAAGGGTTTGGCGGCAGGGGTAGGAATAAGGAGTTCGAGGCTTGCGAAACCCTCAGCCCAAACTCCAAACCCGACCCCTAAACCTTAAACGCTATACCTTACCATCCTGGACTCAAAGCCGTAAAGCTTTGGACCCGGAAGCCACAACTGCCCACGTTCCGAAATCCTACCCTGAACCGTTAGCACCTTGAAGCTTGGAAGGTGCTCTTCCGGTTGCTTCGACTAGGGAAGCTTGCAAGAGCAATCCGAGTGGTGTCGATGACCTCGGTCGCTTGGCATTCATTTGGGGGGAACAGGTTGTGAAAGTCACTATGACAAGACATTGCGGTCGGAGTAACTATTACTATTACTGTGTCCAACACCCTATGATACTCATAAAACACTATGGCGATGTCTTCCCTTTGGGGTTACGTACTCATCACTGTACATGGATACCCCTGTGGTAAGCTTTCTGGAGCCAGAAAAGCCTCAGTGCATGAGCACGGAGGATGCACAGCGGAGAGTGCGTGATATGAGTATTTGGTACTTGCAGTGTAGATGCAACAAACACTGTTCACCAGGTTGCATTATTTTCAGGGCCATGAGGCTCCCAGCATGGAGCTGTCACTGGCACAGGTCGCATCTGTGCATTGTGCGACTGCCTTTACCCTTACGTCCGCATCTGATGAGGAGTTTCAATACAGGACCCTCGAAGAGAACCCTTCATTACTAGGAGAGGGTTCTTATCATAGGAACCCCTCGACAGGGACACCTCAGTCTCAAAACGCTTCATATGATATCGCGCCATCAAAGCATAGACTGCGATGGTACACATCTTGCTGATTGTGTCTCAGGCCTGTCCAGGTCAAATAGTGGCACACCCTCCTCAGCCGATCTCTGACTGAACATTCCAACCAGGTGCTAGCATCTCTCCAGCTTCTGGTGGCTGGACGCATTACTTGACAGGATCAGGGTACTTGGCAAGTCGGGTTGAACTACGGCCCCCCCCCAGACAGCAGGTTATGGTAGGGTGTGGGACGCAGGTTCAAGGAGCAGGATATGGGGGTTTCCGAAAATAGGGGGTACCTTATTCTGGGGTCCTTATAATAAGGATCCTACTATTTGGGGTACTATATTAGGGTCCCCTATTTTCGGAAACCCCCATATATTCTCGGTCTTTCGCAAATCAGAATTTGATGCAGACTTCGGGGTTGGCGGTCGGCCTATTCCGTTCTGTGCGGTTTCGGTGCCACGAACAAGGCTTACAGGTTAAGATCCACAGCCAGAAGTCCCTAACCACCGAAGCTCGGAACCCTAGGCCCAAACCCCCAAAGCCTAAACCCTACACCCAAAACCCAAACCCCCAAGACTCTATGGACCCGAAGCCCGACGACCCAGGATCCAAAGACATCCTGCCTTCTTTTAGCACAAAATCCGTCCGTCACCGAGGTGAAATGTCTGGGATCCAGTCGAGATATGCTTTTCTGGAGCTTTTGTCTTCTGACCTTTGTGCAATGTGTTGCTGGCATGAGCCTCCGCCGCAGTAGCCAGGGCTGCGTGCGAGGGATGCTAACTGTGGGTTTAGGGTTTAGGGTATGCTGCTAGCTGGCTTGGTTTAGGGTTTAGGGTTTAGGGTTTAGGTTAACCCTAAACCCTAAACCCTAAACCCTAATGGACAGGGTCTCGGCCGCCGCAGCACTCTACGCGCTTGGACCCAAGGGTCTCACCGAGTTCATAGTAGCGAGAGAGCTCCGCAATAGCTTTATCGACCTTGTGGAGGAGTTGGGGTTTGTCCAAGCCTTATTGTGGGGGCCTGAATAACTACCAATACGATTTTGGTGGGCTCCTTATCGTAATTGTAGTATAAAAACCCCAAAGGCCTATTCTAAGTATTAAGGCCCCTATATGAATTTCAGAAGTTTGCTAAAAATTGGGTTCAGCCTCTCAACGAAGGTTCGGGTTCAGTTGTGAAGGTTCCGCTCTATGCCCTTAACCGCTGGGAAAACTGTGAACTCTAAGCCGTTCCGTACTTTCTTGCCTTCATTTCGGCTTTGAGCCCAGCGCCGAGTCGGAAGATTCCTTCACACGGTTTAGGGTTTAGGATTTAGGGTTTAGGGTTTAGGGTTTAGGGTTTAGGGTTTAGGGTTTAGGGTTTAGGGTACAGGAACCATGGAACCTAAAACGCTAAACACCAGTAAATATCCATATATTGATCAGCCCTCATAGTAACCCCCTAGTTTCCTTATGCAGTAGTTGCCCTTACATACCCCAGCCCAGGTGAAAGTAGTAAACCCAGAATTCTTGCTGACACCATTCGTGCTAGGCTCTGCTCCACGAAGCACCCCAAACTCCCTCCTGAGTGGTTAAGGGGACTCTTGAACTACGACAGTTTACGAGATATCTCTCGAAAGCGCAAGGCCATGCGCCAAAAAGCTGCCAAGCCTCGCACACTCCCCCTAAAGCCTATCCCAAAGTGTCCTAGGTACAGGTATGCCGGATACTTTCCCAAATCATATGTGGCGATTCTGAACTAATATTGAAACCTTACATTCCACTAAACCCTAAACCCTAAACCCTAAACCCTAAACCATTCCACTATACAGGTACTTAGGACCCTTTGAATATAGAAGCCTCAAGCCTTGAGACGAGGATCCTCAGCACCCTCACCGTCGATTTCATCAAAGATGATAGCAAGCCATCAGAGGTGTCACCGGTCCGATCTGAGGGGGATGTCTGCAGAGTCTAGTTCTCTAATTTCGTGTTTACTGCAGATGTTCAGTTGTCTAATTTCGAGTTTGGGGTTTAGGGTCCTTTTTTGTAAGGGTGCCGTACTACTTTTTGGGACCCAAACAGGGACCCTAACTTAAAGCACTACCCAGGCTCTCAGTTCCTGAGAGGGTTCCTTAATTGTTTTTGCGGCTTCATAGTCAAAGCGTTTATGAGAGTTTTGGGGCTCAGGGTTTCTAGGTTTTGGTGTTTGTCGGGATCTTTTTGCTGTGCCGAAGAGGATGGTCAAGTGACAGGTGTGGTGGTGTTACGCACCGCCATCGCCACCGTTGCCAGGGTTTAGGGTTTAGGGTTTAGGGTTTAGGGCCAGCATGGTTAGCTTTTTTTTGTCATGGCTGTCCTTGGCATCACGGACCATCCCTAGCATCCCGTGGGTTGCCAACACCAGGAGATTCATCACCCTCGTGATCAACATGGGTAGTTGTCAAAATTATGGTCCCTTTTGGGGTATCCTACATGATAGGTGCCGTATTATAATTAGGACCCAAAAGGGGACCATAATTTTGACAACTACCCACATGAACTATCGACGGCACTGTCAACACAGCTGTCTTAATTTACTATCGTGTGTTTGTGGAGCGAGCACCATAATATTATCCAGGCCAAGCACTATTCAGCAACCATTGCATACGACCGGCCACTGGCTAGTACAGTACTATCTAAAGCTTAACCTATATCCTACAAAGAGACCGCCCAGACGTGGTAGTGAGTGGCACCAGCATCACCAGCAAAAGCCATACTGCCAACGATACTGGCCAGCATCCGTCAAAACGAAAACAAAGACCAACCGCTAGAGCCACGGTGGTGATAATAGTGGCAGCAGCGCGGCGAGTGCGACTAGTGGCAGTACCGGTGCTGTTGTTGGTAGGGCTGCAACAGGAAGTTTGTTGGCATGGTAGATGACGGCACATGACACCACGAGAAAAGCAGATTAATATACTAGCTTGAATAATTCTGCTTCTTACGGTTCCTGACTCCAGTTTCTGGTGCAGCGTAAACCCCAAAACCCGATTCTAATTGTTGAGGCCCATATAATTAATTAGCAACGCGCAAAAGCATGGCTCATAGTAGCCTTGTAGTATCTCTTAAAGTAAGCCCAAGAATAACCCTTATAAAAGCCCATGATAGGAACCCTTAAAGGAACTTGCCAAGGAGGGGCGATGTGTTCCTGTACTATGGCACTTTTTCGAGGACGACCCTCTCCATGTTCGAGCTTCTCCTCTGCAAGCAGCACTGAGGCTAGCCTTGCGGTGATCCTGCGCCGAATGGGGTCGGAGTACAGACCCTAAGTCACGGAAACTCAGTCTATAAACTAGTCCATGTATACTTCAGCAGTATAGACCCGAAGAAAGGGAACAGGTCTTGTTGAGATTCCCCAAGAGACGTTCGACTAGCACCGAAGGACGGCAAACCCGGCAGCCACAGACTCCCCCAGAAGAAACATGATGTGGGGGTTTCCGAGAATTGGGGACCCTAATATAGTACCCCCAAATAATAGGATCCTTATTATAAGGACCCCCAAATAAGGTACCCCTAATTTTCGGAAACTCCCATGTAGGTCTTCATAGAGCTTTCCAGGGTTTGCTTTATGTGGTTCTGTAGGGCGAAAGGGGGTTTCGGTTAGCTGTCTAGGAAACCTAGTAGCTAGTAATATTCGCGCGCGCGCAGCCTACTTCATGCAATCATGCAAACCCTGATCCTCTATACCTTTGAATCCGAAAGCCCCTAGACCCCTATAGCCTGCAAATGCTTGAAGAGTTAGGATCTTAAAGCGTTTGATGAAACCCCGTCAACCTCGAAGCCTGTGAGGGTTCCATCGAGTTGTCGAACAGCCAACGACAAGAAGAAATCAGGATCCTCTTCGCGAACTGGAGCCCATGTTGCCGAATCCTGGTCGAGAACGTCAGTGAATGGTTCTCACTTTTCTTCCTCCTCTACAGGCATCGAAGATGTTTTCGTGTTCATGGGTTGGGGGGGGTCTCGGTAATATAAACACATGTATTATTTTTATTTGCATGGCGCATTGATTTCTGTACTTTGTTGCAACAGAAATATACAGAATATATTCAAGCCTCTATCTATCCATGTAACCATCAATCTATTCATCCATCCTTCCATCCTTCCATCATTCCTTCCACCCATCCATCCATCCATCCATCCATCCATCCATCCATCCATCCATCCATCCATCCATCTATCTACCTCTCTACATAATGTATATATATATATATATACATACATACATACATACATACATACATACATACATACATACATATGCTAACCGCCCAGGGCCAACCTCTCACATGAAATCTCGACGACGTATTTCGATACTTTAAAAGTTCAAAAAACCTCCAAAGCTTCCAACACCTACAGGACCCAGTATTTCGGAATTTCCAAAATCCCAGAACTTATCCTAGTTGGTTTTTGACGTTCTGGAGTTGTTGGAATTCTCAGAATGTGTGCAACTTGTGCATGTCGTGGAATTTTTGGGAATGTTTGGAATTTTGGGATCTTTGAGCTTTGATTCGTTTGTATTCCCCAAATATATCCCCAAACTAGCTTCTCTCTTTTTCAGAAATCGCAGTCAGACGCCTGTAAATGTCTAACGTCGGTTTTTAAGTTTTGCAATTTGGCCTTTTGGGGTATACCGTTTCAGTCGTGCTCGACCTGCATGAACCAATGTATAGTTGGTTCGATTTCTAAAACTGGCAAACGTTCCCAGAAGACCACCGATTGAAAAAAACATCAGGCGCTTTTGATGTTTCTTCAGCGTTTGGCTTTTTTTGGGTAGAACCGATAGATCTACATGGTTTTCAATGGAAATGGAAATCATCAAAATCAATAGAACTCAAACATAAGATAAACAGGAACAGGCTCTTCAAAATCAACAGAAAGCACCATGAACATCAAACGAATACACGCCCAAAAATCATTAGGGTTCAAAACGGAAACCCATAGAAACCTCAATCAACACGAACGATATTATCATACACGGTAGAGGCCTTTCTCGATCGATCTATCGATCTGTCTTTCCATCTATCTGTACATCCGTCCATTCATGCATCTATCTATCTTTTCATCGATCTATCGATCTATCGATCGACCTATCTATCGATGTATCTATCTATCTATCTATCTATCTATCTATCTACTTATCTATTCTATCTATCTATTCATATAACTATCTATCTAATCTTATCTAATCTAATCTGTTCTATTTATCTATTCATCTACTAATCTAATCTAATCTAATCTAATCTAATTTAATCTAATCTAATCTAATCTAACCTAATCTAATCTAATCTAATCTAATCTAATCGAATCGAATCGAATCGAATCTAATCTAATCTAATCTAATCTAAACTACCTACCTACCTACCTACCTACCTATCTATCTAGGTACTCGCTCGCTAGCTAGCTAGCTATCTATCTTTCTGCCTGTCTGTCTATCTATCTATCTATCTATCTATCTATACGTCTATCGATCTATCTATCTATCTATCTATCTATCTATCTATCTATCTCTCTCTCCCTCTCTCTTCCTTCTCTCTCTCTCTCACATTCATTCGCTCTCTCTCTCTCTCTCATTCTCTCTCCCTCTTTCTTATATAGATTCTATCTCTCCCTCACATTATCATTTTCTCTCTCACATTCTCTCTCTTTCTGTTCTCTGTCTTTGACATTCTCTCTCTCACACACATTCTCCTACAAAATCACACAACATCTTGGAGGAACTGGTGCCTAGGGGGAGACTGTAACATCAACCCACACTCTGGCCCGCTTTCAGACGCCTTGTTAGGGATTGGGGATCCCACATCACAAGCAGTACCCCTACCGACTGTGTGTGGGTTTCGGGGCAGTCTCTCTGTCAGTAAGGGTGAAGAGGTTGCCCCCGTTTTCGGACCATTGTGGTACTCTGCTTACCATCAGCGCTGACCGTGGTTGCAGCAACAGCGCTGCCGCTTGGGAGTTTAGGAAGCCTAAACGCGTCGCCGACCCAGAAGCTGAGGCTGAGGTTCCCGGTGACGTTTCAAATGTCTGGCAAAAACATGCTCTTCCCCAACAAGAGTGGCAAGAGCTCCTGAAAAGACATCAGGTCTCCGACTTGTGGCGTGCGTGGTCCCGCAACGCTCACTCTTAAGACCAGACCTATTTCGGTAGGTAGCATTGTGTACCGCGCTTGGGCGCGCTTTCGCTTCAAAGAGGCTGTTCGGCACCGCCTTCGCCTCACGCTGGGCACGATGCAGAGTGGAGGTCTCAAGCGACATATATATATATATATACATATATATATATATATGTATAAACCTTCTACCACCCGTCCCCCGAATGGCCCTTTTTACATGAGATCTCGACGACGTATCTGAAATTCCAAATTATTCAAAACTTCACAAAATTCAATAACTTCAAAAAATTAACAACCTAAAGAGCCAAGTCGTGGTGGATGTTTTTGGAATCGTTGGAATTGTCAGAATGTTGAAATTGCTGCATTCCAAATTATATCCCCCAGCTGTCCTCACCTTCTCAGGGATCGCTGTCAGACGCCTGTAAATTTCTTGTGCTGTGATTTATTGTTTTGAAATTATTTTTTGAATTTCACTTTGCTTGAGTACTTGTGTACTGGTTAAGTCGTGTTCGACCTGCTTATGTTAATTCGACTGTCTTTTGCCTAGTTGGTTTCCGGTTTCCGTGCGGGATTCAGGATTTAGGCCTCGAGTAGCTTCATCACCAGCTCTATCAGATTTTGGGATGCAGAGGTTCAGCTATTCTCTGTGGCGCAGGTGTGTACTTGGCTTTGCCATTCTCAACGTCGTCAACTCCGTATTTGTACCCGGGCACAACGAGCACGCTTTTGCCTTGAGACCACCTCCTCCTTAGGGCAGGATCGGGTTTTGGGTACAGGGCTATAGGTTCAGGGAGTAACCCCAGATTCTTATGAGGGGTAAAAATCTTGGATCCTATGATTTTAGGGGTATGCAACGATGGGTTGCCAGACCAGATTGGCACGGCTAGAAGGCCAAATCCTGAATAGAAAACAGTTCCTAAACTGATTGATAGGGAGCCTGAGTCATTTATATTGCTACTCATTCCAGAGGCATCCGTCAATGTTTGTTCCACAATATGCCCCTAGGGCTGCCGTCATCTGAACTTGAAAACCGTACACTCTCGATCGGCCCAGCCCAAAACCCAAAATCTTAAGACTCCAAATGCTTCTAGGACAATAGCTTTTCAAGCAGCACAAAGAACTTTACATGCCCACATTCGCAGTACAAGGTTCCAGCTTCACTACATGCTGACCCGAACCAGGGGACCGACAAGCTGTTCACAAAATCCACAAGCTACAAGTCCCAAAAACACGAAACCACCGTAACAACCTCGACGGTGACTAACCGCTGAACCTCTCCAAGCCGTTTAAGGTCTAGGGTTTAGGGTTTTGGTTCTGTGATGGTGTAAGGGGTCTATAAGGGTGTTAGAGGGGTTGATATGGAGTTCTGAATAGCCAAACCCCGTCAGAAGCCGCCCTTCTATCAACGAGTTGGGAGTCCTAAACCCTAAACCCTAAACCCCTAAACCCTAAACCCTATCAGGTCCAGCAGACGATGAAGACCGCCAGTTCCGATGAGGCGACGGTGCTACAAACTGGGGGTTTTGGATAATCAGGGAACCCTAAAGCCTAAACCTGGGCCCCCCATGTTCTGAAACTGTTGCCAAGGGGTCCCATGTACTGTTATGGGGGATACTTCCCTAAATCATAATAAGACTTCCGAATATAGGAACCCTACATTCTACTATCTAGGTACATAGGACCCTTTGGGGTTGCATAAAGAGATTCCCAAAAGCTCGCGCGCCTTGAGGTTCAGAGGGTTGGGTTCTATGGTGTCCTGTGCAAAGGGGGTTATAGTGTCCGTCGTCGCAGATGGTTTCATATAGAACCTAGGGCTTTGCGGTGTTTCTTTGGCAGGTTTGTAGGGCATGATCATGAATCAGGGTCAGAATGTCACCTGTTACATATACAGGACGCTCTAGGTGTTTGCTCTTCTAGGGGGTTGCTTTTTATGGGGATGTTCAGAAGCATGTTGCAAGAGCCCTAAAGTCATGATGACGGTTCCTTGACCTGGACCATGCAGGTCGCCGAGATCTTCAAAGGTTGTTCTACAGGCTTCATAACCCTAAACCCTAAACCCTAAACCCTAAACCCTAAACCCAAGGTCTTGTTACTCACACATTCTTTATTGTGGGTGCAGGGGTGTTATAGCCTTGGGCTTGCTATCTAAGGCTGTCTTTGCAACACGAGGGTTTAGGAAGTCTTGGTTGCTTAGGACTTCTTTAGGACGCCCCCTGCTTACTCAACCCTTAGGGCCTTAGGGTCTAAACGCCAAAACCTAAAACTGAGCCCAAGTGCTAGATGCAGCCCAAGACCCTAAACTCTAAGCCCAAAGACAGCCATTCAGCACTCAATACCAGCCGAGGAACTGGCCTTCAAGCAGAAGCAGCGTGATGCCGAGCTCTATACCAAGAAGGCCTTGAGAGCGCTTGGTGGGTGCCAGCGAGTCAGAAAACTTAGATGTTCATAGGATTTAGGGCTTCAGGTGCTTATGATGTTCTGGTGTGCTTTAAGGTGTTTTTTGAGGGTTGCTATACTTTCACAATGGTCTTGTCAAGTCTGTTTTCAGTTAGTGTCTCCTTGACCCTAAACCCTAAACCCTAAACCACTGCTTAGGGATATACACAATAACCCCAAGGCTCAAAATCGCCCAAAAGCCTGAAATAGTATGGTCTTTGGGCCCGAAAGCCGTAAACATATGAGTCCTTACAGCCTTATAAAACCCTAAACCCGAAACCCTAAACCCTAAACCCTAACCTGAACCCTAAACCCAAAACCCTATAGGGTAACGATCTCGCGGTACTCGGGTTGACGTATTTCCTGCAGACCAGGCTGGAACTCGGAAGTCAAAACCCGACCCAAAAGCCCCAGAATGTTTAGGGTTTAGGGTTTAGGGTTTAGGGTTTAGGGTTTAGGGCTCTTGGGGTTTATAAGGTTTAGGGTTTAGGCTACGGGTTTCGGGCTCTTGGGGTTTGGGGGTTTAGGCTACGGGTTGAGGGCTCTTGTGGTTTAGGGTTTAGGGTTTCGGGCTCTTGGGGTTTGGGGGTGTAGGCTACGGGTTTAGGTCCTGAAACCCGATGATAAGTACTACGGACGATCATAGAAGATTCTCTTATTCTCCACTAAGAACATGCAAGGCCGAGCCTGAAGCACTGAGCGACTGGCTAAGTCAGTGCAAGGAATTGTGAAGGTGAGGTGAGTTCAAGGGCCCTACTTCTCGCAAGCACAAAGAAGGATTTAGGGTTTAAACCCTAAACCCCAAACCCTAAACCCTAAACCCTAAGACCCTAAACCCTAAACCCCAAACCCCAAACCCCAAACCCCAAGCCCCAAACCCAGGGTCTACAGTACCTTAAGGCTAGGGTTGGGCTCAATGCTAGAACCCACCTCTGCTCCTGCGGCCCTGGTAGCGCTCTATACCCAATTTTGCTTTGGACTTATGTTCGGACCCGTGCGCAAAGTGTCTATCGATGGGTTTTGATTCAAGTACCAGGATGTGGCTTGCACGGATCGGCAGGATTGTATGTTGTGTTCGGTTTCAGTGAGCAGAAGACGGCTTGCAGGCTCTTGCAGGTGGATTTTATATGCTGGTTTGTGCATCAGGTATCAGAATGCGGCTTGCGAGATCCCCAGGTTTAAGTGGTGGGTTCTGGTGCAGTACCAGGGCATACTGATAGGCTTCGGCTTAGGTGATAGGACAAACCATCCGAAGACATAGATCTACCCCAGGCGGCCCTCGCCACAAGAGACCACAGGTCCTAAACCCCAGACCCTAAATCCCAAATTATATATATATAAGGTTTAGGGTTTAGGGTTTAGGGTTTCGGGTTCAGGGTTTAGAAATCTTAAGGTCCAAACGTCGATGATGCTTGGGGGCTTTAATTTGTTGCATCCCCAACCCGTGCCACAAAATCCCGGGGACCCAAACTGAGAACCCCAATCCTGTGAAAGAGTCCCTATGGGTTCATCTACATGTGTCTTGTCGTAACAAATCTTGTCCATTTCTCATACCTCATATCTCATATTCCATGTTCGATTTCATACCCCACCAGATCAGATCAAATATCATATCCTACATCATATACCATTTATCGTTTATATGCATACATACATACATACATACATACATACATACATACATAAATGTGTATATATATATATATATGTGTGTGTGTGTATGTATATATGCATATACACAAACGTCTATGGATTGATGTGCTTAGTTGTTTACTCCGTCTTCAAGGAGTGCCTATATAGTAGTTTTAGGGCCAAATGCATATGCAAGGAAGTGCGCAGGGCCCTTTAAGCCTATGTAAGGGGAGTAGGGCTAAGCGATCTAGGTGTTAGGGTTTAGGTGTTAGGGTTTGGGTTAGGGTAACCCTAAACCCTAAACCCTAACCCCGAACCGAAACCCTAAACCCTAAACCCTAAACCGATTGGGGCACCCTAAACCCTAAACCCTAAACCCTCATCCTTAAACCCTAATCCTTAAACCCTAAACCCTAAACCAGCTTGTCATCCCCTGCAGGTCCGCAAGCTCTTCCAGACGATGGATGCCAGCGGAGATGGTGCCATCAACTTGGAGGCCCTCGCATTCAATAAGGTTTCGGTTCAGGGTTTAGGGTTTAGGGTTTAGGGTTTAGGGTTTAAGGTTTCGGTTCAGGGTTTAGGGTTTAGGGTTTAGGGTTTAGGTTTAGGGTTTGGGTTTAGGGTTTAGGGTTTAGGGTCCAATAAAGCAGGTGCTATGTCCTCAGGGTACGATCCATACCGCGCAAAAATCCGAAATCCTAAACACCAATCCCATAGAAACAAAAAACTTGAAAGCCGAGATGGCTTACTGGTGGTTAATGAAGAGTGGAGGGAGGAGTTTGTAAGGACGACGATCAGGGACTACATATGAACCACTGTAGGGATCCACTCTCCCGCTCCCCCTACCCTGAACCCTAAATCCTACACCCTAAACCCTAAAACCCTGAACCCTCAATCCTAAACCCTATAAGCCCAAAGCCCTTAGTCACCAGTAAGATGGAAGGAGTTCGCCAAGCTCGTGCAGTCACCGAAGCTCCGCTTCTGGATGAGCCAGTTGGAGACTCTTGCCTGACCTCTGATAAAGAGACTTGAATAATTAGAATAGGGTCCCTTAAAAGGGTTCCTTAAGAAGGGATACTATAAGGCTTACTATAAGGGTTCTATAGTATAGGGACCTTAAGAATTAGAGTAGGGTTTGGGTGGGGTATATTCTCCCATAACCAAAATAAGGAACCCCCAAAACCCTATTCTAATTATTAAGGCCCCTACATTAGTCCCAAAAATCTCTGTTTCGGGTTTAGGGTTTAGGGTTTAAGAAATACCCGAGACCATAATCCAAATACACCCTGATTTCAGGAAATATTGAAGTAAGAAAGACAAAATACTGATTCCAGACAGTATGTAAGGAAGTCATAGCGATGAACCCTGAAGCTGGAATGAGAAATTCGTCGAAGTGGCGTTTCATTGGCTCAGCTTCGCGGTCGTCGTTCAATCACTCGTCCCAGACTGTTGGAGGATATTCATCCAGGCTGAAGCTGTTGCAGATCGGTTTAGTGGATTACAGGGTGGTTTAGATTTAGATATCAGAGTTCATGGCTCCCTGCAGCTCAACATGCAAGAACCTGTCGCTCCGGTTCTTTGGGCAGAAGCCCCAGACATCTCATGCGCCCGAAACCCGAGTAGTTGCACGTATGCGTGTTTTTGTGTCGACTATATCGGGCTTCCTCAAAGCACTTGCTGTTGTACGGTTCAGGGTTTAGGGTTTAGGGTTCAGGGTTCAGGGTTCAGGGTTTAGGGTTCAGGGTTTAGGGTTCAGGGTTCAGGGTTTAGGGTTCAGGGTTTAGGATTTAGGGCTCCGTGGTCCGACGAGCCTAACGCAGCATTTCGCCATACGAGTGGGGAAGATAGCTCTAGACAACAAAAGTCAACCCTAAACCCTAAACCCTAAACCCTAACAAGAGTCATCGTACTAGGTGCCCTGAGTGCTAGAGTCCCCCCAACATACCGCGCTATACTATATACTGCTTACGATATACCATATACCGTATGGTATAACAACTGTATACTATACCCTATGTACTGTATACTATTGACAATATACTATATACTTTGTACTATATAGTACATACTATCTATACTATACTATACTATGCCACACCAGACAACACGATACTGTACTATGTACCATGCTCTACTATAGTATACTAGACTACCCATAGGCCCCATAGTAGTTCCTTTCTGGTTGCTTAAACCCTAAACCCTATAGGATCCTCTTAGGAAATTATACTGTATTGTTGAACCCCCAGACTCCGCAGGCCCGCGTCGACTCTGCCTCATGGTTAGGGCATCCTGCTCCCAGCCCTAGATTAGCTTGAAAGGTTTAGGGTTTTGGGTTTAGGATTTAGGGTTTAGGGTTTAGGGTTTAGGATTTAGGGTTTAGGGTTTAGGCCCAACGTTACACCCAAAGGGTCCAAGTATTCCCTAAATAGAGGACACTGGATTCATTTTGGGTACCAGAAACCATAGAGAAGGACTACTTGGACCCTTAAGGTACAGGCTTTAGGGTTTATAGACCCTAAACCCTAACTTAGCCCTAAACCGACACCCCTAAACCCAGCCTAAACCCGTGAATCCTCACCCTGCAATGCCCAGGTTGGAGTACCATGATCTTTTGAGCCTTTTCGAATTCCTGGATAACGGAGATGGGCAGATCACGTGACTCGGAGGGGTTTAGGGGTTCCGTAGCAATCCTGTTTCATCCATGTTTTTTACGAACGCAAATTGCATTGAAGATGAGCGTTTCTATTGTGGGTGGAAGGTGCTGATGGTATAGGGTTTATGTTTTAGGGTTGGGCGTGATTGTGGCTTTGTACTCCTCCGTTGGGCTTGGGTGTGGTTTGTGGTGTTCTCTCTTTCGGAACGTTGGAATTAGCATGCAGGTATTCCTACTGTGCAAACAAACTATAGGGCATCTATCAGGCCCCCTAAACCCTAAACCCTAAGCCCCAGACTAAGCTTCGAACCCAAACCAAACCATGGCTTGCTTCCCTAAGCCGCCAACCCAAGCACCTAAAAGCCCGAAACTCTGGCGAGACTAAACCCTGAACCTAAAGCCCCAAAGCCCTGAGTGACGTAGACAGTCCTAGAGTTCCAATTACCTATACAACTTAGTGGGTTAGTGTTCCGGTTCAACTCTAATTACGCAGAGCCCAGAGATTTACTACATGTCCTGGGCTTTTTAGGGCTAACAGCGGAGCCCCAACTAAGTCCTAAAGCAGTAGGTCAGTAGGCCCTATATTAGCCCTAAATCTTAGCAACACACTTATCCCGCAACCCTAAGCCCCATCATGTATCCCTTCACGGATCTCTCCAAGGATCCCTCTAAGGATCCCTTCAAGGATCCTCCTAAACCCTAAACTCTAAACCTTAAACCCCAAACCCTAAACCGTAGCGGACCCCTTAAAGGAATCTAAACCCTAAACCCTAAACCCTAAACCCTAAACCCCTAAACCCTAAACCCTAAACCCCTAAACCCTAAACCCTAAACCTTAGGCTTACGGAGTTCATCGAGGGCGCGGCTCGCCGGTCGGGATGCTGCCATTTCATTCGCTGCATAAAAGGCCCTAAGGGTCCATGTGCTCATATAGTATATACATTGGCCTTAATGTAGTCCCTATATAGGTACTTTAGGGCCCATGTATATACTGTATGAGTACATGGACCCTTAGGGAGGTGTTTTACAAGGGTTTGGGGGTTTTGGGGTTTGGGGTTTAG